CTACTTGAAACTACACAATGGCCACAAAAAACCAAAAATGATAAAAAACAAAAATTTTGGGCGAGGAAAGGGGGAGTACCCTTAACAGGTTATAGATAGTACCCTGAGATAGCTCTTAAAAAGTTATAAAGAGTATCACGAGATAGCGTTCAAAAAGTTATGTATAGTACCCGGAGATAGCCCCTGAGAAATTATACATAGTATCTCAAGATAGCCGTTGAAAATTTTTACATAGTGCCCAAAGACAGGTCTTAAAAACTTATTGATAGTGCCTCGAGATAGCCCTTAACAGGTTATAGATAGTGCCCTGAGATAGCTCTTAAAAAGTTATAAAGACTATCCCGAGATAGTGTTCAAATGCTATGGATACTACCTGGAGCAAGGGGGAACAAACTGATTACTAATACTAGTAATCAATTTGTAATCACGAGTAATCACCAGTAATCACTAGTAATCACCAGTAATCACCAGTAATCACAAGTAATCATCAGTCGCGAACCGTGGGGTTCTCAAGCCCTATTTTTGAAAAAAAAATTTTTTTCGAAAAAATAGGACTTGATGACCCTAGTGCTCGGGTTGGGGACGGAGATGGTTACGAAACCGTTACCAGTTACCCGGGAACGTAACGGTAACTTCCCACCCCTAATCACCAGTAATCACCAGTAATCACTAGTAATCATTGGTAATCATTAGTAATCACTAGTAATCATTGATAATCATTCGTAATCATTGGTAATCAAGTAATCAAGTAATCAGTTTGTTCCCCCTTGCTTCCGATATAACAGTAAATTTTCCAACCCCTAAAAATGTTTCCACATCGTTTTTGATTTTATGATTTTTTTCTGATTTTTTCAAAATTGAAAATTTTTTTATTATTCAATTAAAATTTATTTTTATAACTATTATGGTGCGTAAACTGTTTATGATACTACCCACATCTTTCGATTTTGTTACTTTTCTTCTGATTACATTGTAATTTTTAGGCTATTCAAAATTTTCTTTCTTATTTCATTTCGATATTTTTTCCGGGTGATTATTTTGAGTTGTTTCAATACAGGGATTTGTTTTTGAAAAATGAATGAGTTTAAACTAAACGACTTTCTTAAATTGTTCACACTAACTGAACTTATATACATATATTGTTTTTCATGTTTTTCCTGACAACAACATATATTCTAAGATAAATTGTAAAAGATCATGAAAAACAACATATGACGTCTTGCTAGTAGACAAGTCTGTCATACCTTTATTCACATGAACAGTTATAGGATTTTTCTCCAGCGTTTGAAAAAATTTCGAAACTTTTCCAACGCACACAATCAAATCTCTCATTTTTAATTTTTTCTATCCGATAATACTACTAAAGAGAGAAATAATTGATCATAAGGTTGACGATCTATGATTAGAACACAAAGTTTAGTCGAGTTAGTCGTGAGATCTATGTAATTGAATGCAGACTTTTATGGAGAGCATAGAAATAACAATCAGAACTTATTTTCCAATAGTAAGAAATTTGTGGGAGAATTCAGCCAAAATTTTTAACTCTGACTGTTTTATTATATCTATTGAACATATGTTGGGCTGAACAGAATATTAAAAAAAATCTCAAACCTTCAGCAGACGCTTTGAATTCGATTGATAAGAGTTTTATAAAAGCCAAAATATATTTAATAATTTTGAATAAACTTGCTCAAAAGCATGAAGAAATTGATTGATGATTATGATTTGTGCATGTGTTCAAGGAATCTAATATCGTTGGTGAATGATCTTAAACATATGACAGAGGTAAACTGACAATCTGTTATTCGTGTATGTGTTCTTAACCTTACATCAAGATGATTTTCAACGGTAAGTATTCATTGCATTCTACTTGTATCGAGCTATCCCCTTGTGTGAAGTGATTTTTTTCTGTACTAGGTGCTTCTATTTTCTAAATATTTTGATGTAGCATACTAGCTTGTGAGATATTTTCATAACATGTAATCATTTAAATTTGAATTTTTCTTAAACATAATTCTTTTGTTTTCATGTATTCATTAAACTCTTGTGTCTTGCTTTAACGTTCAGGCGACTTGATTAATTATTTGCTCTCGCTTTCTTTTATTATGAAATTCATTTTTTTGTAACGATATAACTCAAAGTTCTATGATATAGACACCGCAACCAGTTTACTATTGCCGATTTATTCCTTCTGTTGATTTATCTGATATTACTTGACGTTCTTTGGAATTCAATGTGCAGCGATGAAAAGAAAAGAAATTCGTCAATACTAGTGAATAGCTCACAAAAACAAGAGCGGAATAAATTTTAAAAATACATTTGTAAGCGTCATTGCTGTTATGTCGGTTTCACTATTGTTGCCAGGAATGTTAAGAAATGTAATTAATTACGTCGAACATTTTTCGAAATATGGCAGCAATAGGACGAAAGCAATGGTTGCTGTGTCATCACGTTATATAAATTATGAAAATAATGTCCGCTTCCACTACAAACCATGATGCAACACTTTGAAGTTGAGAACTCCGTTTACAATCAACTGAAAACAAAATTATACGTGGTCAACTTTTAAGGACTTATGCGGCTTTTATAACTGACATATCTGCTTTCATCAATATTGATTTATTATCAACGTCAAGCATTATATGTGAAATTTTTGAAGCCGAATTCTATTAGATTAACTTAACAATGTAAAATTTTTTCTCGATGCAAATCTGTTGCTAATGCTGCAGCATTTTGTATTTCGATTGCAAATACAATGTTTCTGAATACTACTGATAAAATAAAACAACAATCTAAAAGAATTCGACTTCTTGATGGACTAGTGAATGGTAGGAATAATAATATTCAATTTACAAATTACTATTCAACAATAAGAACTGGAACATTACCAAAATCTATGCTTCTGAGTACGGTTGATCATTTAACTCGAGATGTGTATTCTTCAAGATTATGATAAAACCCAACATTATACACATAGCTGAAGTTAGCAATCGATTCAAGTAATTCTGGCAGCGATTCGCCTAGGAACTTAGTCTAACGCTCCTATTCTTGGTCCAAGGTCAACTCCATGAGCTCTATCTAATGGTATAATTAGATTTTTCATAGCTCAAACCAAAGTCCCAAAAAAACAAAAATACTCATATTTCACTATAGGACGCAGAAGACCATAAAAGTAAAAGTACCAGCGATTCGCCTAGAAACTTGGTCCAAGATTCATATTCTCGCCCCAAATACAACTCAATGAGCTCTATCCAATGGTATGCTCAGATTTTCGACAGCTCAAAGTATAATTTTCAGATGCTCACTAGCGCCATCTGTCAGCCCAAAAATCATACTTCGGTCTCTCGACAATAGGAGCATATCATTGAATAGAACTCGTTGAGTTGTACTTGAAACGAGAATAGGAGACTTGGACCAGGTCGTTGGGAAAATCGCTGCTGGAATTACTCAAATTGGCTGCCAGGATTCCAAAAAGAAAAATACTAGTATTTCGAGTTTTTTGGAAACATAGTTTGGGCTATGGAAAATCTGATTGCACCATTGGATAGAGCTCATCAAGTTGTACTTGAACCGTGAATAGGAACGTTGGACCAAGTTCCTACGCGAATCGCTGCCGGAATTACTTCAATCGGCTGCTAACTTCACCTACTTACACTATACCAGATATTGATGTTAAACATTAAAAGAAAATGAAAAGATCGATGAAATTAGAGTGTATTATTGGTACACTAAGATAACATTGTCAAGTATCTTATCAACAGGCGTGGAATCTTTTACAAGTCTACCAAAGTCATACTTAATTCATGTACATTAAGTACATAATTATATTTATTATCACATGTATTTTGGTTTCAAGCTTCACGTTAATTGCAATAATGGTGACAGTACCGGGACATTAATTGATGAAATTGAACTTTTTTTTAGATGAAAATGAAAGTTCACCTTTTATAACGGAAAGGTGTTATGAAACTTATGATGTACCATCAGATGTGCTCTTTTTTTCTAATTCCATATATATGAATAAAGTTGAAGCAAAATTTAAAAACAACTTAAGATGGCTATGGATATGAATTTGTGTTAGGAAGCAGATGTCACCTAAGTGAAGTTTACTAACCGTAATTACACGCTTAAGAAATATTATTGACATTTATGCTGAATTAATTTGTATCGTAAAAACAGGCATTCCCAAAAGCAAGTTCTAAATTCGTTTCTGACATGATTATTACGATTTCATCAACTAAATCTTAGAGCATCTTCTACAAGATCAATTTGATTAGAATAAAAGCAACCGACACGATGTCAAATATTCCATTAAGCCATTTGTGTTCTTGTAGTGTGGGTGTGGGTTGTGGTTCCGTAATTAATCCACACCCACACCCAAACATGAAAATGTGATCTAAACAATCTTAGACTAGTATATTATATTGCAACTTCATTTAAAACTATTATTCATGCGACCTAGATTGAATCGATTCAAGGAATTCCTTATGGAGAACGGTCAAAAATCAGAGACAATCAAGCGATATTATACATCATTGATGATAAATAATAGAAACAAGATAATTGAGAAAGAAATTGTGATAAATCAGCTGCTATATCGTCAATTTTTTCGTCGATATTAAATTTTTTCAATATTAACTCTTATCTAAAAATTAACAAAATATGATTATGTTGGTTATTAAATAAAATATTCTTTCGTCATATTTCTATAGAAACGACTCATATTTAATATTTCAAAATCGATACAATAATAAATAAAAACCACCTGAATAAAATGTTTCACCCTATCAAACACAATTAGAGAAATAGAATCTAGTAAAATTAACTATGATTATTATTTCTCATATAACAATATTAAAGTGTTATTATCATTTTCAGTGAGACGAAAACGTTTAATTTTTTTTCTGAAGTTTATTACGTTAGCAATGATAGCTAGTGAGTAGAGGAAAGAATAATAATAATAATGAAAAAACTCAAAGATTGTTACGTTAAAATAAGAATTATTTTCTTGGTGATGCTACGACATCAAAGCTACGAATTGAATAACCAGTTTGAATACTTTTTAAACGAAGTGTTACAATTGATGGAACAATTCTTTGAGTTATAATAAATTGTATAAGTGGTGCTGCTTGAAATGTTGTTGTATTGAATGTTGTAGGTGTTTGAACTTGAATAAACTGTTCATTATTAATTGATGCTTCTAATGTACCAGAATTTCCACCGACATAAACAGTTAAATTAATTTGAATTGGTGATTGACGGATTTGTAATGGATAATAAAATACTGAATTAGGACCTAAATATCTTAAATCAGGATCAGGATATGGTACTTTATGACCCGCAAAATTAGTTGCATTCACATTATAAGATGGAATAGAAATTCCAAAATTAAATTGAACTGAACTTTGACGAAATTGATCAATCGCTTTTAATTTTGGTGCTGGCCGTGGAAGTTGAGCAACAGATGATGTTGAATTAAACATTTTTGTTGTATCAATTAATATTTCTTGTCTCATATCTTCTAATAAACTCCATGATCCATATTTACCTATTTGATTAGCTCCAGATCCAAACCAATTCAGTGTCTGAAAACCAAATCTTGACCATCCATTTAAGAATGTTAAACATATATCAGTCATACGAGGATGGCGAGTAGCTTTTATTTTTGCTTCTAATGAACAATCTCCACATCCACTAGCAGTATCAGGTCCTCCTTCATAACCATATACATTTAATTTATACCAGGCAGCATAAACAGCATGAACACCAATAGGTGCTTGTTGACTCCAACCATGTTCGGGTAAAAATCTTTGAATACTTGAATGAAATCCATCAAGTACTTGATCAATTGTTAAATTTGACCATGTTTTATAATGTTCTAAGTCAAAATAAGGAGCAATAGCAATACCATGAAGAAATGTTGATGGTGGACCATAAATAGTATTTAAATAATCTAAACCAGTGTTAATAACATATGGATTTACAGCTTGACCAGCTAATATTGGTCGAACACGTTTCCATAAACCAACATTTTCTTTGCCAAATACAATTTTAAATAAATCTGAAATATGTTTTATTTGATATGCTGTTCGTCGAAATCCCCAAGCGTATGAATTTGAAATACCATCATGATTTAAATGCAATGGATCACCATGATTATGGATAGAATCCATTGCAGCAAGAAGATTTGCTTTGGCTTGTGGAAACATAGAATTCCAAACTTCATTTGAATATTCAACATAAATATTACTTAATGGATTTAGTTCTTTTAACATTATTTTTGCAATATTTAATATATAATCATTTGTAGCACCATGTGGGATATTTATCCAAATATCTATTGGTTTATTTATTTGATTAATAATATTTGGAACTGTTTCCCATGGATTACGTTTAGGTGGTGTATATGTTGGCCAATTTACTGATGTTGCATCATTCCAATTAACTTCATAATTAGCATTTGTATTCGTCCAATCCATAAAACGTATAATATTGAAACGAGACAAGTGTGCTAACATTAATTTTGTTATCCTTGATTTTGATGATAAATCATAACCTGGCTGTAATATAGCTATATCTTGTAAACCAGGACCAGTTGTATTTCGAAAACTAAGCATCATTTGAATTGCACCTTGCGGGACATTTATCAAAGCTGTAAGGGTATTTGTTGATGCATCATATGTTTTATTCACAATATTTGCAGGGGAACCACCAGCTGTTGATACTTGTGCATTGCCTTTAGCATATAACATATATGTTCCTCCCATATCAATATTATTTGTAGCTAATACTATTCCAAAATCATTATTAGGCCATCCACTTACTAAATCAAATGTTGCATTACCATCCCAAGGTCTATCTGCACTACCCCACACACGTGCTTGCCGCACTAAATTTACATATGGAAGACTACGACTCCAATCATGTAAACCATCCAAATTAACACCAATAGAAAGCAATGTATGAACATTTGCTATTGACATTAATATTGAAATAATTATAAACCAAATCATTTAATTGAAATAAAAGTTCAAAATATTTTTGTAATACTATCAATATTAGAGTAGTTATCCGAGTTTCCAAAAAGTATGGTTAATACAAAAGACTGCCAGTGTGATAGACGTATTCACTCATATACATAATATATATATATAAGAATTTGACTCGTACGAATATATATAAATATATCGAGTGGGCGTTCGTAATTTTTACATGTCACTTTACCTATCCAGTCATATACGTTCGTATAATATTTCGTATGTGCATTGATATTTCCAATCTTATCATATTAGTTTCTTTTTACTTAGTATAAAGCAGCCCTGATATTGAAGTTGAATTTTATTTTCTTATGAAATGAAAAAACCATCGTATTAAGTATCATTTTACATAGAATAGGCATCAATATAGAAAGTATTAGAAGTACATTCACTTTCATAGAAGGTTTGCGAAAGATTAAGACGCTCTCCCAATTCGATCGCAGGCCAAGGACATTGAAATCACATGAAAATTTCAGGACGTACCAAGGCTGTAGTAGTACGACCATGATCAAATATTCAGTCTTATACCATGACTTTTGAGGAATATCTGTCAAACAACAGTAAAACATAGCACATTTAGTCTTCAAAAATTCTTTGTGGACTATAGTCATATATATATATATATATTTATTTATTTTTTGATGAAAAGAGTATTTCAAAATACAGTGCCTACCGGGACTTTTTTAAAATGCTTACTATTTAAGCAGATAAAAAGGATGACTAGCTTAATGGCTCGAAAGGTATGGATGTTCATCTTCTCTTAAGGCACGATCACACGCATCTCATACATTCATCGTTCACCTTGCATGTCGTCAGTGTTCAAGTTTGAATAAATGTAAGAAAGAAACTTCTCTGATTCCTTTACTGGTGTTGACCAACTACTTTCATATGCAGACTGTTCGCTATTATCGAACTTAATATCATTTCGTAAAGCAATGATATGCTACAATGATTCATTATCAAAACAAGATGTATTCTTTTCTTTTAATGGAATATCACCGTGTTTAAAAAGATAATATTTTGACATGCATTTGAAAGTTGTGGGTATGGGTGTTTGGTGTTCTAACATTTTCTTTTAGATGGACATCTCATAAACCTATGTTGAAATTGTAAACTCAATCGCTTTAAACTTTATGACTCAATCATCATCATCATATTGAAGGGCGCAATAAGTCAAAGATCAAAGATTTTGATAATCTTTACTTGTTGATCATTGGTCTCCACAGAAAAGTGGGTGTGGGTGTTAATATTCTCCTCAATCTCACTGACACCTACACCCTCTGAAGAAAAGGCAGGCATTCTATGCTGTGTACACTCTTTGATTGCAGAGAAAGCGGTTTCCTTTCATAAAAATCAATTATCATCTGATTGAAAAAAAAATGCAATTTTCGACAAATGTGCTTGTAATACAGCAGTAAACTGCTATGAATCTCGGATTTCCACTTCAAATGAAAATTGAGATTTAAAAATTTAGTGTTCTTAACATTTGTTACATTAGCTTTATTGGTAAAACTCATTTTCGTTTAAGAATAAATGATCACTTCATGAAAAAAAAAGAACAGAANATTATTTAAGATAATAAAAATATATACGTTTTGTAGAGAATTTGACGAGGAATCTATTGGTAAAAAAAATTTTTCTTAAACACTGAAAAATGAATGAGTTATATGAAAAATACTGAGAGCGCCATTCATTTTGTGACACCCGTTAATTCAATGAAATTGTTATCTCATATCATTTTTTGAGTTTTTGGCATCTTTTCTTAGTAATTACTCATATGCCTTATTTACAAATAATTACGTCTTTGGAGACCAGATACTTTTTTATGGACGTCGAGTTAGTTTAATTTAAAAAAAACCATTATCAAGCACAACTATTAATGAAAAAGATCTTTTTTATTTCAATTCTGAAATTGATTAAATAGAACTTTATTAGTTAACTAATATTTCTAAAGTCTTGTCGAATTAAATTTATAGAAATAAGCTTTTTTTCCTTTTAATATCAATTTTAGTTCACATATATCTGATAAAAAAAAACTAACTAGTGCAGTTCATAATGACACATCAGTACATTATTCAAATACACTTATCGAAGAAACAAAAATCAATTTTATAAATTTGTTATCATTTTAATGAACATGTAATTGACTTTTTTAGCAAGATCTTTGTCAAATAGTTGAATAATTAAAACTGTTTATCTATCTGGAAAAAGTCGAATATTATCGTTTCATGATCCAACCTAACTTTCCAACTGATCGAACTGATATTCAAATATCAAAATTTCGTCGTTGGCATTAATTATTATTTATAATATGACATTGCTATATGTTAAAGAAAACTATCATGTTCTTTTTTCTTTCTATTGTTAATTCACCAAAATTACTTTTTATTATTTTTCGGTTTTTTTAAAATACAACAGAACTTATATATCTAACGGATTCACTGGTACATGCATTCGCTATTGCCGTCAGTCAGTCTCTCTTTCACTCGTGTGAACATACAAATACTTCTACTCCCCTATTGTTAATCAATCATTCTTTTCTCTCTCTATTGTTTCTTTCGAAGAGCTACATGAAAGAATAAATCTTAAATAATCCAAATTCGTTATTCACAAGACCTTTTTTGAGCAAATCTCATATATATGAAATAGAATCTCTATTGAATAATCCTATTAATAACAAAGATATCATCAACTATCTACTTAAAATTACTATTATTATCGCATTAGATTTTACCATTCAATCATCTTGAATATTTCGAATAGAAATCATCATTTTCAAATATAGAACATTGCATAGAACGTGAGTATAGGTGTGTATGAATGAGGATCTTCTACTCATCCAAACCACGATTCATCCATATCCTACGTTATTTTCTACTATGCGAAGAGTTTTATTATTATAATTATTATTTGCATCGGTTCAACACAAGTAAAATACTCGAGACAAAAAATCACAAAAAAGAGATCGGACGGAATTTGGTCATAAATTGTCAGTTGAATGATAATGCTCTCATTTTCTTTGGTGCTTTTGCTATTGGTAACCTATAGGAATCAAGACAAAAAAAAACAATTTAGTGTAAAAGTTCAAAATAAAGAAATGTACAGTGGACAGCAAAAGTGTATGACATTTTTTACTTCGGTGTTTTCTATGAAAATCAAGGAGATAAATGATATATTTTGAGTGCAATATAAACTTAGAGTCAGTTTCTACACAAGCCATCTATTATTGATCTAATTGATTGTAGTATGAAGAAACAAAAGGGATTCTCATTTTTCTCTAGCAAGCAAAAATTGAACACACTTTTGCTGGTATTTTGGCTAATTCATCGTTATCGAAAAATCGACAATATACTTTTTAGTAAAAAAAACAATTATTGAGCACTAACAAGAGAAATGTTTTGTTAGAAGCTTTGCTCTTCAAATATTTCGTTAGAAAGAGCATTGAAAATTGAATAGCACTATGCATTGTTATTTTACAATAACTCTTTATAACAAAGTTTTTCTAGATATTAATTAAAATTTAGCTAATACTCTGTTAATAGTTATGAAAAGTGAGATCCATTCAAAAAAAAACAACTCTGTATTTTGTAGAGCAGACTGTTTTATCGAATGAAATCTTGCACTCTTCTGTGCAATCTATACATTAGTTTACACTACCCTATTTTCATTGATTAATAATTTCAATGATGATTTTCAACTACTTTTCATTTGCTCCGTGGCCTAAAATTTTCAAAGTGCTATAGCTAATAATGGACACATGACACAGAAGAGTGAAAAATCTCATTTGATAGAACAGTTTGCTGTACAATATGCACAATTTTTTCTGAAGTTGTGAAATCTTTACTTAGACTTAAGTTTTCATAATTAGTTCACGCTAGAATCAATTAGATCAAGAAGAGATTATTTGTGTAGACATTCACTCTAACTTTATATCGCGCTCAAAATATGTCATTCATATCTTGTGCTTTTTCATTGAAAGTACCCTAGTAAATGATGTCTTATATTTTGGCGGTCTACTTTAATTAACTCACGCAATTGCCTCATCGAGTTCCATGATTGTACGTTTTGTATTCAGTAAATACGGCTGCTGAAGGTATTGACCATTTGAATCTTCATATAGTTTTGCTGAAACGTCTATATTTGGATGCACTGTAGTAGCAGCGGTGAGATCTTGTTGCTCAGGGATGCTACGCGGCACTGCATTGTTATCTTTATCCACAAAAACGAACGACTTTTTTATGTTGAATAAGAAGATAGAATGATACACTTACCATCATCATCCGGCGGAAGATAATTGACAGGAGTAACAGTATTTGATTGCTGCTGCTGGAGACTTTTCTTTTTGGTAGCAGCATCAACTGAAAAATCAAACAAAACAGTTATAGATTTTCGTATTTCTTTTATCAAGACATAAATATATACCTCCAGTAAAAGAATTCGATTGAATAGTAGGTGAGTTAGGATCGACAACAAATGTATTGTTCTCATTTTGTCGTCGAGCAATTCGAATGACTAACTGCATTGTATCTAACTTATACTCGTGCCATAGTTGACGCGGTTTTTTGTTCTTGAATATGTTCAGAGTTCCTAAATTGGACCAATATCGTTTGAAGTGTATAGCGAGAGTATATCATACCGCAAGGAAAACGCCGTAATCCAAGGTTTTTCTTCCTACTTTCAGATATTTCGTATAACAAATCGCTTTGCTTAGGTTTAACGGGAATCAGGTACAATCTTAAAAAAGTCAAATCTTTTTCTGTTTGTTTACTTTATATCAACAACACACTGCATACTTGATCCAATCAGCATCGTACACATCTTGATCGGTGATCAAAAAATATGTTGGGTTTTCGAGTCTATAATCATTTCGACGAGAATCCCCAATGAGAAACATGTAAGGACTGTAATAATTGCAAGTACCATCTGGTGAACAGATAACCAGACTACATTCAATATACTTGCCGACGAGTCCCACA